TAGCATGGGGAGGGACTTGCCCTATGAAATATCAAAATATACTGTAAAGTTATTGTATGGTATTAGCTAGCACAAGTCTAGACAGATAATGAGACAAAGCATGTGAGTACTCAAACAGACACTTCCACTTCTAGTTAACAATCCTAGAAAAAATATTCTTACAGGTAAAACAGAGAGACATATAAGATTGCAACATCATATAACAGAAAAAAAATAATTAAAAGATCTATATCCATCAGTAAGAGAATGATTACACCTCTATCTATGGAATAGGAATACTCCACAACTATTAAACAGAATGAAGAAAACCAAACTCACTGACAGAAAAATGTATCTATTATATCGTTGAACTGCAAAAGTATTGCTAAGTTGAAGAAAAATCCAGTTATAAGAGTAGACAAAGAGTATGATGATATTTATATTAGAGCACACAGACAAAACTATATACATCTTTGTATATACGCACACATATATGTGTATGTGCATTGAGAAAGGATTTGTAAAGACATACATCAAACTCATTACAGAAATTAAGTTTGTGGTGCAAATGTGAGATTGGGGTATGGGTGAAGGAGGACCTTGACTCTTTCTTTTATATAACCCTGTACTGCATTGTTTGAGGGTTAAATTTGTTTTAAATAGTGAAGATGCAAAAAAGCTATTCTTTACAACATATCTTGTTGGAGAAAGACTTTAAAGTGGGTCACAAGATAGTTGGAGAGTAAACTGGCTGGATCTTGAGCACTAAAGGTACAAAAACCTTAGTAGCTCAGAGGAAATGTCTCTTGCGTAGGGTTGCCTTTCACTTTTCCCATTCTCTCACTCCCCCTGGACCTGATTTTTTCCCTATCAGACATTTAGTTGTTCAACTCACTTTCACATTTTACCCACATGAAAAAAAATGTTAATACACTGAGTTTCTTGTCCTCTGCTCATAACATTATCTGCCCCTCCTAGTTGCGCTCATCTGCAAACTTTGGCCTCATTCTCCCCTCCACTTGTAAATAGACTAAATAAGATTATAAATTGATTTGCTTCATGGGATTATATCACTTCAATCTAGTAATAAGGGCAGCTACCTCATGCTTATGATTAGATTTGTTCTTCAATTAATTAAACATGGAAAATAATTATATTCTTTAATGTAATGCATTTTTCTTGATGGACAAATATCCTTCATCTACAAGGTGTATGAGGGGAAAAAAAGTAATAGAAGGGGTGAAAAGAATATAAATCACTAAGCAGTGTGCACCCATGCCCAGTGAGGTCAGGGGTTTCTCTAGTCTTGTGAAAAGAAGGCCCCAGTTATCAAGTTATGATTAAGTTCATGCTATCATTATAAAAAATTGACCCTGAGGTTTTTAATGTGCAAACAGTGGACTCTCCCTCCTAGAAGCTGAAATGCCCCTGGACATCTCCCTGTCCCTGGAATTCGTTGGCTCTCTCCTTCTGAGAAAGAAACTGAAGGTGCTGGTTGGCAGAGGCACGGGCCAAGTGTCTGTAGAAGCAGATATGAGACCAGGTCCTGAAAGGCGCCAGCAATTTCTGCAAGGAGATATGCTTTTTTAGTTTAAAAACTGTGATCATGTGAAGAGCAGTTGAATTTGTGATCACACCCCTTTGTAAGAAGGAATTAGGATGGCAGTTTCTAATCCATAACGGAAGTAGACAGAAAGAGAGGCGAAGAAGGCACCATCGAGAGCCAGGGTAGTTCGCACAGGCACTGTAGCTACTACTGGCTGCATCTCGTAATTACTAAAACCCAAAGTGTGACTATTCAAGCCCTGATTTAAAAAACAAACAAACAAACAAACAAAAAAACCCCACCAAAAACCCAAAATACAAAAAACCCCCCAAAGACCAGAAAATATTTTATCCCATGGATGGAAAACATATGCTACACTGCACCTGTTACAGAATACCTTCTTATACAATCCCCAACCCTGCGAGGAGCAGCAAAATTACTTTTGAAAATGTTTTTTGCTTTGGGCCTGTAGAGAAATAACATATAATGAGAGGTCCAACCAGGTTAGCCAAGACCCATGAAGAGAAAATGTGGAACCAAGTTCTAGCAATTGTCCAAAGCATCAAAGCAGCTGAAATAACTAGCTTTTCTTTTTAAGCCGTGAAAACCGGTGAGATGAGACCAAAAGATGCAAGAACACTTGGAATCCAATGAAGAAACACCTAGAAACAGACAACAGCTCTGTTAGCCCCATTTTACTGCATTCAGGGGAAATGAAGGCAGAAAAATCTAGCGGATCTCATTGAAAACTGTTTTCTGGGTTTTAAACTGAAATTGATGCCTTCAGTTTCCAAGCTGTGATGGCAATTGGCCTGGTGCATGGTCCCCAGGGTCTGAAGGAGGCTTGCAAAGAGATACTCTTAAAAAGATTTCTGTATATCAACAAACTGTTAAAAAACATGTTGATGAGTTGAGTGTAAACAAATGAGAAACAGAAGGAATCAGATTTTCTTTCAAATACACACTGGCTTAAGCATGAAAGGGGAAAACATTCAGTTGTCAAAATAGGCTTGAGGTTTTGCTGAATCCAGAAATTCTGGAGAGTAGAGTGAGATGTTTTTGCCAAACCCTAAATACTGTAGGGTTAAGCTTTCCCTCTAACCAATTAGATAATTGCCATTTCATTCTTTGGATTTCTCAATTGTTTCTTCTATTTTTTTTTAAAGCAAACAAAATAATTAGGCTTGTCTTAGGGTAATTTTGCTAATATTTCCATAATTAAATAATTACTTCAACCCCTGAATTAGAAACTGTCCTTCTGTCTCTGTGGGTACAGTAGGCTGCCAGCTGTTTTAAATAACCCTTGAGAGCGGTCAGGTTAAGGACTCAATTTATGACCTTATAAATTAACACAAGGAAACCTACTCCATAATGCAACAGACAATTCTATTTATAATGCTTAATTAATCTCCACCAGTCACTAACAGAACCCACTTGTGACCTTTCATTTCAAACTCCCCCAAATGCAGGTCTCCTGAGGTGAGAAGTGTTAATATGTGAATGCTGATAGAATTCGCTGGCACTGTGGTCGAGTATTATTTAAATAGCTGACAGTCTGGATAAATTAGCTCCTGATAGCTCACGGATCAAATGTAAGAAGGAAATGTCAAGTTGGGCAGCATTGATGAAACCTTTCTTCAGAATCCTGAACTAGAGAGAGATAGAAATAAAGGGAAATGTTCATGTTTAACATTGCCTGCAAATACTTGCTCTGAATTTCAGTCTTGGTAGCTGAGACAACCAAAAGAAAGTATCAAAATTGTTCCAAAGGATGGCAGGGGGGAGGCCATTCTGGGTGGCTTCATTTATTTGCTATTAGTACCCTAAGTCTGCCTTCTCTTAGATTGAAACATTAAATCCAGTAATAACCAATTCAATTCTGTCTTACCCAGGGTATTACAAATAGAGTGGAATTATCTGGAAAATTCCAAGTACCCCAGAAAGCTGTTGCGTGTGACCAGTGTAACATTTGCAGAGTCATACCAGGTTCTCCTGGGACGGACCTTGGAAAGGAGGAAGGCATGTGCACTACTTGGACATTTTTGCAGGCAAAGAGAGCAGTTGTGACCCAAATGCTTAGGAAGTCCACCTTGTAGAGCCTGGCACCTTGGACTATGCGTGGAGTGCTTTATCAGGTTTTAGGACCATTCAGTCAATTTCCATATGTCCTGTGGACCAGGAAAATGATTTCTTTCTTTTTTCTTCCCTACATTGAAAAATCAACATAACGTGATGACTGGCTCTTCTGCGAGCCTTTAGGCAAATTCCTTAATCTTTCATTGCCTCAGTTTTTTCATCTGCAAAGTGGGAATCATACAGAACCTACTTCATGAGGTTGTTGTGAGGATTAGAAAGAGTTAATGTACATAAAGGCTTTAAACAGTGCCTGGTGCATAGTTGGTGCCATCAAGTGTTGGCTGTCATCATAATACCTCTGCAATCTCTCTCTCCTCGGGGCTCTCCCTCCCCTTTCCCAGGGCTGCCATGGTAGCCAGGTCAGGCTGTCATGACCTCTCTCTCAAATAGCTTCCTAATCATTTCCTTATTCTAAATCCATATCTCCTCCAATACATCATGCACAGTATTGCCACTTTAATCTTTCAAAAGTCTACTTCTGATCCTGTCCCTAACTTATTCCCTGGCTCTGCAGAACACATCACATAAAGTCTAAACCTCTCAGTCTTAATTTTGAGCCCCACTTCACCCCCACCTGCTGGCCCAAGTTTCACTCTCTGATCTTACACTTCGCCACACCTTTTTATGAACCCTATGCTCTTGTGGAGCCACACTATTTTCTATTCCCTCTACGTTTTCTCTTATCCTCCTCTACTTGTCCCAGTATTTTCTTGTTTTCAAACCTGTGTTCACTGTCCTCTCCACTTGGAACTTACTTTCCCACAATATCTTCCAGTCCGAATCCTAGCCATGCTGCACAGCCAGGCCCAAATATCACCTCCACCCTGGGGCCTTTACTGATCCCACCATTTTACCATCCCCTTCTTCTTTCCTCATTTCCAGTGCATTTTATCTACTTTTTTCTTTTTAATTCTCAACCCTAGTTACCTGGTATTATAGTTACCAATTTACATGCCCCCTATTTAGTATATTCCATATCCCAACCTCTCAACTTCTTGGATTAAGTCTGATTCTTCAGTGTGTTCTGCTTAGGCCTGCCCCAACCCTATGCTATGCACAGAGCAGACCCTCTGTGAATGACTCGCATGAATGGAACATTAATCAAAGGGCCTAAAATGACAGCCTGGTCTTGTGGTTCATTCTTTCTGTGATTTATGCTTAGTCATCTTATTGCTCCTTTACATGAGTGCCTACGGAATTATTTCAACTCCAAAAGTAAATGGGATGAAAACAAGACTGTCAGCAGGAAAAAAAAAATCATACAGAATGCACAACTGACCCTCAAATAACGGATTCTTTCTTAAGAAGGAACTATAGAAAAATATCTGGAGTCCAGTACCTTTATACCTGGTTACTACAGCTGCGTTGACGCTAAGAGGCTCTTGGAAGCTGACAGTGAGTGATGTGCTGCTGGTTACCATGAGACAGACGTTGGTTGGCACCTCAGGGGCTCCTGGGACAGAAGGAAAACACAAGGATCTTAACATAGCAAATCCTTTTCAAACAATGTTCCTGCCTCTTCAAAGGATACCCTGAAACACATTCTATGGTAACATTTGTTTGTACAGCCTAATAGCTTTTGCTTTTGAACATTTTCATTCGAAGTCTTTTGTTTGTTGCCATCGTGGTCTTATTTAAGCACTAGAACATCTTCTGAAGGGGTAAATAATACCAGTTAAACCTCCCCAAAGTACTTTGGAAACACAAGAGGAGATTGCACTGGACCAGTGAAGAGAAGGGCAGACAGTGACAGCAGGATCCTAAATTGTAGACAGAGACCCTTACCTTTCATAAGTACTTTCATGTACATCACACACAAGAGGAGATTGCACTGGACCAGTGAAGAGAAGGGCAGACAGTGACAGCAGGATCCTACATTGTAGACAGAGACCCTTACCTTTCATAAGTACTTTCATGTACATCAATTCATTGGAGCCTGTTGGGTAGTAAAGGCAAGTAACAGTACTGCAGCCCAAAGAGGCCAAAATCCTTGTTTGAGAACACAGTGACGACACACAGCCAGGGTGAAAGCCCCCGCCTTTGGATGCCTAATTCTGGTCTCTTTCCAGTATGGAATGCTAACTCACCTTGCTCTCAGGCTGCCTCCTATTCAAGTAGTATTTTCTGGGAAGAAAGTTATGGTTAAATGTCATGCCCACCAACCTCAGGTTAAAAGGACTCTTGATGGCTTTAGGTATTCCTTAACACACAGACAATGTTTCATAATTTAGAAAATTACAAAAAATGGCATCAAGTCTAAAAATATGTCTGTTCCTAGTATTAATCTGTCCTAAATGAGGCACCATAGCAAATACATTTATTAAAGCAATTGCTGAGAGTCTTTTTAAAAAATCCACATATCAGCATTGCTGAAGAGATTGTTAATGTTGAAAGCAACCTTTCATTAACGTTGCTTACATTATTTGCTCCAAGAGAAAGAGTTAGGCCTAGATTTGGTTCTTAGTGTGCAGTAATACTTTAGAAAACAAAATTTAACTGCCTTTGGTCTTTGTCTGTCACAACTAAAGTTCTTGAAGTGAAGGCAGAGAATTTCCAAACTAATAAACTGATCTTTCCCTTAGATTTAAAATTTTAAGTATAATTTTTTGTTGTTTAAATAAGATCTCCCTGTAGAATGAGAATTTAATATTTCACAGGTGTTTCAATTTTATCTTGTGTTTTTATATCAGGGGCTGCACTCAGCAGTACTTTCTAGTACTAATGAGTATTATCCAGAAAGATTTTTCTTAAGCTAACAAAAAGAATTGGTAAAGAGAATGGAAGTGCAGATGAAAGAATATTTCATGGATTGATTGTCCTTCTCTGTTGCCTGTATTAATTGAAGCTCAGTTTCTAGCTCTCTGAAAAAATGCAGTAGAGACTTGAAAAGAACTTAAACTTGAGCTTCGAAGCAGAAACTGGACAAATAAGAAAACAAATAGTTTTCCACCTTTAAATCCCCAAATACAGCCACTTATGGCATCAGACCATCCAGGTCATTAGGCATTAGGGCATAGCAGGTGGAAAGTGCTAGATGAGCGTGACATGGTGGAGGGAGACCAGAAGCACTGAAGCCTCATACCTGTGGTCAGAGAACCCATCAGGAGCCAGAAAATCAAGTAAGACAAAAGACCCTTTGACAGCTTCCCAGAGCATTCACTCCAAATAGGCTGACAATGGCCATCCATGACTTTGTAGAGTGGCAAAAAAAAAAAAAAAAAAAAGTCAGTAAAAGAAGGCCTGGCTTTCTCAAACCAAAGTTCATTGCAGTTTAATGTTGAAGTCCTCTGCTTATACTCACTGGCATGCTCGAAGCCTGTCTTCATGCGTCTGTAGAGCCGATACCTCCACTCCCAAGCTTTTAGCTGCTTCTCTTTCTCTGTGTTGTCCAGAGTGAATCCTTCATTCTCCACCTGAGCAGACAGTTCACTCACCCTCTCCTGGGCTTCCTGGACTAGCGTGTTGAGGTGCATTGCTCGGCTTTCCAGGCTGACAACTAAAGGCAAAGAAATGGGATGACTCCTCCCTCTTTTTGGGGAAATGCTGCTTTGTTGGCAGGATATATCTGAGAATCTACTATGGGTTTTTAAAAATGCCTGGGGAAAGTGGAATCTGTGTTTGTTTTTAACTATCTTATTATGATAAGGTCTAATCAGTGACATTTACAACTAGATTAAGTGGTAAATTCATCAAATTAAGACATGCCCATTGCTCTCTGGCCCTCTTGTCACATGCACCCTAATTAACTGCTTAGCACAGCTAATTAGAGTTCCACCATCAAGTACCCAAGAGGGCCACTTCTAATCTAGATTGCATACATTTGTTTCTACGACCTTTAGAGGGATAAACACTTAGGGGCAAAAGCTCTATAGGATAACTATAGGAAAAGTTATCCATGGGGCAAGTTGCATTCTGGCATCGTTTGGGGTTTTTTTTTTTTGTTTGTTTGGTAGAATCTGATTCAAATTTTCTGCTATCACATTTTTCCCAGCTTATAGACATTTTTATACATGTCTTAGAGGCATGGTTTTGTTATTATTAATAGATTTATTTATTGCTAACAAAGTGTTCCACTTCTGCTGCTGCAGTTGAGTTCTGATGGCTGGATGACTTGGATGAGATCAGACATTAATCTTTGATCAGTTTGATTTTTGATTGTGATGTGATTGTAGAAATGATCTCCAGAAATATTCATGCCTAAGAGGATAAGTTGTACTAGTTCCCTTTGCCAAGAGAGGCTGTAGAGCTTAATATTCCTATTTTACCCAATATGTGATAGTCATTTGACTTACATCATATTGTTTAGCTAGCCCACCCTTGTGTGATTGAATGTTTATATCAAGCACAGTATGTTTCCCATTCTTGTGCTAGGCTGTAAGGCTGCTTCTTGAGGTCTCCTTATGGCTCTCATGCATATAAGGGCCTGCCTAGGCGGTCATCTGGTCACCTCACAGAAACCCCTCCTGGTTAGTGATAAACGAGAAGACAGCCTCAGTATAGAAATGTGATAGGGGATCAAACAAATAGTGAAATAAATCAGTATCAAGTTCTGTAGATTTGTTGCCGAAATGTGTTTGACACTGCCTGTGACCAAAACAGTATTTCCCCCTGGTGGGTAGGAAAGAAATCCAACCATTTCATTCTTCTAATTAAGGGGAAAAATATTATAAAGATAACTCAAGTGAAAATTTGTTAGGTGTATTTTGAAATGGAAATTAGGTGGTTATATATTCATATTCTCTGAGTTCATAGGCATGTTTGCATTAATTACAGGAAATGAATACTAATTTATTATTGCCCCTGTGCACCATCAGTCTAAATTTATTTACAGATGAGGTCAATGAAAAATTAGTGGAGTCTTTTTTTTCTTTCTTTCTTTCTTTCTTCTTTCTTTTTAAAGTTGCTGTTTAAAACACTCAGGACTGTGTTTTGCTGTAGATTTGTCATGGTTAATGAATGTTGCTGTAGCAGTCAATCATGTACTCTAAATACTGTCACACTTTTTAAAAAAAGCCTCAGTCATGAGCCATGACAGAAAAATAAACAAATAAATATAAAGCTAAAAAACTCTTTCACTGAGCAGCTACACTATGCAGAATCCCCCGGGAAGGCTAAAGGAGGCCAGAATAAATGATAATATAAGTGCTGTGGATGTAGGGAAGCAATGATGGTGTATGAATGCAGAGGTTCTGGAGAAAAAAAATACACATACACACACACAGGCGCACACTCCAGTGGAAAAATTGGCAATATTAGTAGCCTCAAGGTGTAATTTCCTGGAGCAGTGAGATTGACAAGTCAGTACTAAATGCTGTTAATTTAACTAACTTCAGATTAATGGTAGAGTCTGCTATGACTGAAGCCCTCAAACACAGTCTCATTATAGCCTTGCTGGGAAGGTCCTAAATATAGGCATTGACAGTTTAAAACAAATTCGTATACATTTGTGTATTTTTAGACATAGGTTAGGCGTCAGAGTTTGTGTCACAGTTTTCAGGTTGATTAATTGACCCAGTAACTGCACCCTTTACCCACTCCCCCCTCCTTCTTCTACTCCAAATTATAGAGAAAATGGGGGAATTGTCCTTGTTAAGTTATTCAGTGAGCTTTTTATTGTAAGCCTGATGTTTGAGTTGCATGCATGCGTCAACACTTGGGTGATAGACACATGATTTATACAAATAAATTTTTCTAATACTATGAAATCCCCCCTATTAATTTTTATATCCACAACAGTTATTACTGCTGTGAATTCCAGGTGGCATTTCAGATGGACAGCTTCTCTTGAGCTATGCCTGGCTCCCCCTGACATTTTTCCTGCTTTCCCTAGCACAGCACACTTTGCCTCTGCACTTTCCCTTTTCTCCTAGGCTTTAGACCTGATGCAATTTGGGTTATAGAGGTAAAGGGATTCCACCTCTTCAAGATAAAGCATCTTGCCTCTTCAGAGATTAACAAGGGAGGTGCATAGAATTTTATAGCCAGTTGAGCTTTCCAACATGATTTAAATCTTTGTGCTCCTCAGTATGGGATGCCTGCACTTCAGCATAATCTGGTGGTGATGGTGGTAGTACATTGGGCATCTCTGAAGCCACAATATGAATGTATGTGTCCTGGAGCATCAAATTTTACATGCATATTTTGATGAAAGCAGAGTGTTTAGAAATTCACACAAATACTTCTATTATCAAGGAGAATGAAAAAATTTCAAAAAATTGATGATTTTTTAAAAAGAGAAACTTTCTAGAAATCTCTCCCCTTTTTTCAGGTTAAGTCCCCAGGTGCCCCTGAGACTACATTCACTTGCCTTTATTGTTAGAGGTAATTGCATGGACAAATCGGGGAGTCACTGACTGAGCCAGTGGTTTCTAATTATTTCACCAAGGAAACCTCTTTTTTTTTTTTCCTATGGCTTTTTTTTAATAGCTTAATAAAACTCTCTTTTTTGAAAGATTTTTTTTTGCCTACCAAACCAGCTGACTTACAAAGTAATCGTGTTTTTCCCTATTAATGACCTATATAATTTCCAATAGAGGCATCTGTTCAGAATGAGATAATCAACCTAACAAACTGGGTTAATATATTTTAAGCAGAAGCAAGTAAATATGATAATTATATTAGACTGTAGTTTTATCTTGAGTAACGGTGTAATTGGTTAGGCTTTTTGACACCTTAGAAATTGTTCTGGGAACCCCACTTTTATTTTTGTGATGGCAGAATGGGAATCTTTTCAACTTCCTTACTTGAAAGATGAAGAAACTGGAGACCCAGGGAAGTCAGATGACTTATCTATGATTTTCTTAAAAAGCCTTAAAGAACTCAGTGAACTTTCTCTAAACCAAATGGAATGCAAATCAACGTATTATCTATGTATTGCAATTTTCTGATCCCTGTTTGGCATGTGATTGGCAAACTCATGTTAGCTGGTTGGTGGACTTAGAAAAAAGGCTAAGTTTATTTTATGATTGATTTTCTTGCCTGTACACTTCTCTCTTTTTTAGCTTTATTTATTTATTTATAGAAACACGATTGTACATGTCTGTGGGATACAGTATTGAATATCAATACCTGTGTCCACTTCTCTTTTTCTTGGGTCTATTCCCCTTTTATTTGCACCCACTAGATATTTCCTTCTTGAGTCCAGCACTCCTAATCTCTTAGCAAGAGATTTGGTCTTTTCTCTCATTGCAGTTGGTCCCTTCTCCAGCCAAGCAACCATCCCTCTGAGCGGCAATAGCCAGCACAATAGAGGGTCTGTGAGAGTGTGGAAAGCAGTTTGGCTGGGGCAAGACCACTCGGTGGCTCCTGAAATAGGCTTCGTGCTATTGTGGTGTTTAATTATCAGCTGCGTTTCTACCACCCAGTGCTTCTGAGTGGGTATTTGTTATTAAGGCCTGCCCAGCTAATTAACTATGGGATGGGGATGGGGGTGGGGCGGGAACTTGGTGTTAGGTTACAATTACTGTTACTGTTTAAATCCTGAGATAAATAATGATCAGGGACTGCATGGATTTTCTTCACCATTGGAATCGAACCTATGGATTGCCAACTACTTACTGTTTTTTAATTTTGTCCTCGCTCTGCAATTCGTGAATTTGGAACTTGATTGATAATTGCTTAAAGCTTGAAAATATGAAGGCAAAATGCAAACTAATTTTTACTTGAGGCTTTTAGGAAACAATTTATTTTGTTTGCTTGAAAAAAATGGACACGTTTGCCCATTACTAATGATACGTCATTCTGTAATTTAGCAACACCTTCTGTATGATTATTATTAGTATTTTCCTCTTTTTTAAATTTTGTTTGCTTGAAAAAAATGGACACGTTTGCCCATTACTAATGATGCGTCATTCTGTAATTTAGCAACACCTTCTGTATGATTATTATTAGTATTTTCCTCTTTTTTAACTGATTAGAAAAACGAGGCACTAAGACAATCATTTGACCTCGGTGTTAGAAGGATTCCTTATAAGCAACCTTAGACCCATCTTCCTACAATACCCTTGGCTCTGTGTGATTTCCTTCGTGAGGAGAACCCACTGCTTACTAATGCGGCCTCGTCCATCTTCACACAACTCTGAATTTTAAAAAGCTTCCTTACCCTGAGCTGAAATCTGTGTTTCCATTATTTTTAAAGTGGAGGCAATGCAGTGAAAGAGCTTTTTAGGGTCCTCTAGATCAAGCACTGCCCCTTACAATTGTATGACCCTGACCTTACTCCACCATATTGAGCCCAAGTGTCTTGTCTGTAAAAGTAGCATAATAATAACCCCTGTCTCATAAGATGTAATAAATTAATGATAATCTTTACACAGAAGACTCAATTTGTGGAGATTCATATTATTACTATTACTACACACATCGTTACTATATTTTTGAGAGGCACACAAAAATAAATGCAAATACTTGTTTTATAAAATAGCCCTATGTTTTTCCATCAAAAAAAAAAAAAGGAAAACAAAAAACAACTCTTGCCTCAGATAAAAATTTTTCATT